TATATTACTGAAACGTGTTTTTACTGAAATAAATTAAGGTATCCAACATTCTGTTTAGTTAATCGTGTTTTCTAAAATATCTATTCCTTTTATTATTTGTCTGATGTATATTTTTACATTCGTAAGAAATGTCTTGATAGATCCCTTATTATGTGTCTCTATTGACTTCAAGAGAAAAAAAATGAAAACTCTTCGAAAAAGATCGCGCAATATGTTGGGCTAAATGATGTATGCGTTTTAAGGACATAGAAGAAGGAAGATATGAAAGAAAAATATATATTCACATACAATACATGCTATTTGGAAGTTCATTATATTTTCTCTGAGTAAGCGGCCTTTCTTCTTATATTATGTTACCTTTTTTTTCTAGAAGTCCAACAGATGTACACAGTAAAGGACCTATCAAGACATTTTCTTACGAATACAAAACTTATACATGTCTCTATCAATGATAAAAGTTCAGCTCCTTTACTCGGGTCATAAAAGAGATATTGAATTTTTATGTTTTGATTATGTTAATTATGAGTCATCCTGTGTAACGATTTTTTAAACAAATTAGTTAAATCCAATGGAAACTAGTATATAATCAATCGGTCGTTTTACAAGTTATATCGAGTATTAAACATGCAGGTTAAATCGACTGAAACGCATCTCATGCCCTAAATCAGTGCACTCAATAATATAATTTTTTTCTAGAAAAATACAAACAATATTTTTTTAATGACAGAGACGAACAGTAAATCGAACGCACCAAAACCAATTGAGTTTCCATCCTTTTATGAAGATCATATAATGTTGTCTGGTAGACATTGGCCTGTTGACAAACCAAAAGCATCTCTACTCTTTATTCATACATTTGGTGATCATGGCGCTCGTACAACATTTCTTCAACAATTTTTTAGTCAACATCATTTTGCCGTGTTTGATTATGATTGGAGAGGTCATGGTAGAAGTCATGGTGAGCGTGGTTTCATTCCAAATGCTAAAGCAAGTTTCGGTGATACAGATGCTGCAATCGATCAAATTAAACAAAAATATCCTTCACTTCCTCTTATCATCTGGGGCGATGGAATCGGCGCATCTATCATCATCTTTTATGCAATGAAGCACACGGATAAACTACCTTTTCAAGGTCTTATCGTTTCTTCACCAGCTGCCAATCTTCCAAAGGCTAAAGTCGGTCGTATCCAATTAGGTATTGTTCGTACCTTCTCTAATCTATCACCTACTGTTCGTCTACCAGTACGAGCGGAACAATATGCTATAGAAGTTACAGATGATGAAGAAGTACTAAGAAATTATAAAAACGATCGTTATGTTCACGATCGATGGCCAGCTAGAACACTCGACATTATGCTTGAAGCATCATTTCAAATACAAAGAGGATTTAGATTTCCTATTCCACTCTTAATTCAATATGGTACAAAGTCTATTATCAAAAGAGAAGTTATACAAGATTGGGTCGACCGATCAAGTTCTACGAAAATAAAAGAATTTAAAATTTGGGAAGGATTACATCATGAATTACACAATGATAGTCAGCGTAATGATGTTTTTCAATATTCCTTGGAATGGATAGAAAATAATATCTTAAATCAGACTGAATGAAGAAAGGAAAGACCATAGTCACTTTGATTAAGATTTATATTCATTTTTCTCTATTATATTTTTTTAAATAAAGGAACAGCATGAATTATCTTTATTCGTTCTTATCCCTTCTATTTCTAATTGATGTGTCTTTACAACATCAAATAAACTAATGAAACAAGTAACGCGGCCTAGTAGCCGCTAAACCCTCTACTGAAAGGATAATATTATAATTAGAGCGCTACTATTCGTCCAAAGAGAGAAAAAAGTTATTTCAGTTGAACGATCTGATCATTTGATAATTTGTCAGAATATTTTACGTAGACTAATTTCGCTTCCTGAAATCTTCTGAAATTATAACGCCTAGTCGCTCGTCGGCCTCCCTTCGGTCGGCCACTCGCGGCTAGTCGTGACATGTACATTTTCACTCTTCCATTTAGTCTAGAGCCACTTTTGAAACTAATCCGTTCATTCCCTTCTATTCCTTCTTTGAAGTCACCCTCTTTGCGCTACTCTGACTGTTGAAGACAACACTTGACAAGCGAAACACTATTTTGAACGACTGGCATTAGATGATAGTCATATAGTATAGCTGTTTATAAAAGTGTGTGATCTCATTAATATGCTGATGGCTATGGAGACCTAGCGATGGGACGTCAGTCAGCTATTACATTTTTTCCTCTATATATTGCCGCTTAAAACATTATCGTCTAAAAAATTGATTCTTTGTCGTAAAAAACGGGTCAGAAAGTGTTCATTAAAAAACGAACCTCGGATTCGAGTTCCTCGACCTCGATTACCCTTCGGTCAATCCTTACTCGACAACAAAAAAAAATTCATTACTTAATTAGTTAATTACCTAATTAGCTAATTGGAATTTCGAGAAGCTAACCTCGGATTCGGATTCCCCGACCCCGATTGCCCTTCGGTCAACCCTTATAAAAAAATATCTTTTTGGAAAAAAGTGAACCGTTGTCGCAAAAAACGAACAAAAAGTTTTTTCGAGAAACTAACCACGGATTCGAGTTCCTCGACCCCGATTACCCTTCGGTCAACCCTTCCTAGCCAGAGATATAGATTGCTTTTTCGTAAGTGTAAAGTACGTGAACGGACAAACGTACGGACAAACGAACGAACTTTAGCTCAAATTCTGTGTATACCCTCCTTTCAGTAGAGGGAAAAATTTCATTCTAATCCATTGTTATAGTCCTACTCTATATATTCAATCAATTGAGTACAATAAAAATTCTAAAAGAATATTTTTACTTTAAAGAAAATTTCACTTTGTATATAGTTTAAATCAGCACATTGATATTATGATAATCAACATCTTATGCATTGCATCTTTTTTCCATTTGATATATTTTATTTATTAGGTTGGCAAGAAATTTTTTGCGTTTTTTTCTCAAATATCCTAGAACAACCGAGAAAGTTCTGGAAGTTTCCGTATTAAGGGTATATAAAGGGAGTACAGATAGCTTTCGAACAAAAACGAAATCATGGATATGGATGTTGATCTTGAATTAGAAACGAAGATATCACGTAGAGAGCTCAGAGTGCTTCTACTTCATGAATTCTGTTTAGGTCGCAAAGCAACGCAAGCAACACACAACATATGTAGCTCGATGGGCAAGGATGACTACATGGTGTTTAGCAGAGCAGCTCGGATGCTCTCATACTACAGTAGAAACACATCTGGCGGATTTAGGCAAAACCTGGAAATATGGTGTTTGGATACGACATGAATTGTCACCACATCAACTCCAGCACAGAGTCGATGCATGCATGGAATTAATGATGTCTCATCGCAACTACCAATGGCTGGGAGCTGGGCAAACAGATGTTGCCACACCCAAGGATAATCATCACCCAAAGAAGATTATGCTGAGCGTCTGGTAGGGTGTCAAAGGAATTATTCATAGGGAAATTTTTCCTACTGGCTGCACCATCACTGCTGACCTCTGCTGCTAGCAATTAGACCGAGTTGCAGCAAAACTTCATGGAAAGCAGGATAGGGTTTGTTTTTTGCATGACAACGCCCGACCTCACGTTGCTTAAGTCGACTCGTGAAAAATGATTGAAGCTCGGATGGATTACAATTCCACATCCACCTTATTCTCCTGACTTGGCTCCAACAGATTACCATTTGTTTCGTTCTCTTTCTAATTATTTAGGCGAGGAAAAATTCGACGACGAGAACGACCTCAAAACGGACCTAGCCAACTTCTTTGATCAAAAGTCTCAAGACTTTTACGAAGCCCGGATCCTTTCTCTGCCCGAGCGTTGGCGACAAGTCATAGATAGTAATAGTGCATACATTGTTGAAACCTAGTTGTATTCTTGAAGTTAAAAAATAAAAAGAAATTTTTCTGAAAAAGCGCAAAAAATTTCTTGCCAATCCAATATTTGATAATACTTGTTTAATGAAAAATTCTTCGGTGACCTCATTATAGCTTTTTAATGATAATAGAAATAGGTAAATTTTCATGAAGAATATTTAAAGACGAATTTCAAACAATCGGTATTCTATCAAGACATAGCGCATACTTTTTGGCGTACATATCGGTAAGTTTCGATGAATTAACATCGGGTGATTTACTGAAACATGTGATGAATGGTTTTCTTCTCTTTTTCTTTCGATTTATTCTGTATAGATCTTTCAAAATACGTTGACAAATTCCTCTTTTGTCAATATTGGGTAGGAAATAATGTTCGATAAATCATATCCATTAAATTAGTTGAATGTAAATTTGTGGTGATTTATGACTATTTTATTGCACCCATCATTTCATAGCATTGCCATTCTTTTTAATAAAACAAAAAGATTTTACGAGTTTAATAATTTCGCATTTATTCCCTCGACTGAAAGGAGGGTCATATAAAAAAAAAGTTTGTCTGTCTGTCTGTCTGTCTGTCTGTCTGTCTGTGTCAGGGTCAAAGGTCAAAGGTCAAAAAAACATTTTTTTTGAAAATGCTTAAAACTTCATAAAACATCGTTTGGAAGGGGTGTAGAGGGTAGATGTTGGTGGGGGATGCGTGATGGGGTCAAAAGANACAATCCGACACGTTCGAATGCGAAATATATAGAGTCTCATTTGGTTTTACCGAAATTATCTTTCTTTTAGAAAAAGGAGGACATGTTTAAAAGTGCAAATCCATAATAGTCATTTATAGCGAACTTCTGCTTCCTGTCAGATCTGAAACATGGATTTTATGGATTTTCTAAGGGTCATCATAGAACCTAGCTAAAAGTAACGCTCATAAAATTTGCAACAAATGACTGGATTTTCCAGTCGGAATCCGATGCAATTCCGTCACCAGGAATCCTATCGGATTTCGTCGGACGGTCGGATCCGATCGGTTCTCATCGGATCCAACGTCGGATTTGTTGACCTGGGAGCAGCACAAGTATTCCCTTGACTCTTTTGAAGACTGAGGCGAATGAAGATCAGTCTCTGGGGACCCTTTCAAAGGTTATACTTCTGTCTTTTTTTGGATAAAACGCACATAAGACTATTTTATTTTCAGTCATTGGTTCAGTCGAGGGCATAGCGAGTCTACCTCGACGAGCGTTACTAGTATTTTAACCATAGGAATATGTGTAAATTTCTTGCTTTTTGAACTATCAATTTCACCATTCTGACGAAACTAGTGAATATTTTGTGAATCAACTTGTTCTAAATATTTTAGATTTGATGATAATAAATCACCATCACCTGTTATTAAAACAAGTTTATGAATTAAATATGGATAAGTTTTAAAAAGAATCTACCAATATCCCGAACACTGACATAAATTATATACTACCATCAGGCGAGCAAGGAGCAATATGCCGTCCATCCATAGATATTTCAATTTCTTCACTAAATTGATCTGGTTAACCATAAATCCAACCAGTCATATTATGAAAATTTAATCGATAGATAAATTTATTTCGTATGCTTCGAATTCAGTTGAAGATATCTATCTATGCGTTTTGAATTGGCGGTAAAAAGGATATAATTTTGTTCAGTAGAATGATTGCGGTTTATTCGATAATCGGTAATAATTAATTAGGATATAAGCGATAAAGCATATGAAAATAGACAAAATGTGAACAATATAACGTTGCGTCAGTTTGCTCAAGTGTTTTTTTATTTGACTACTAATTCGCTGCCATCGTTAGCATATATAAATAAATATGAATACAAAGATATATTGTTATTCTATCATCTTTTTTTTATACAATTGTGATACCATTGATAAATAAGAATCAGAGATGTCCACAGGGCAGGGCTGCCCTGCTAATTATACATGTGGACCGCGAATTCATTAAAACAGTCTTTTTTGCTTAAAAATATTCAAAAATACTAAAAAAAACGCGATTTTATCGTCGAATAGCCTCTAATGCTATTTAATACCCCTAGTAATAGTTTCTCTTCCTTTATAGCAACGGGATTTTATTGCTGTTTCAGCATTTTTAGACGTTGTCTGTATTCTACTGTACTAAACAGTTGATCTAAAGGATTTTTGAAGATAACATCAATTTTAGATGAAGTCGTAGTGATCTTCAGAAGAAGTGATAGAATTCTCCTGAGATCAAAGAGCAAACAACTAGAAAAATAATAAATCCTTGTGATAGACAAGTTTTGACTCGTTTCTACATATATTTAGTGAGGTCTTCTTCTCTTTATCACTCTAAAAATAGATCCTTGTTCAGAAAAAACTTCTTTCTCATTTGAATCAAATTATTTTGTACAAAAAATCAAAATGATAATACTAATCTTTAATCANAGTCGAATAACTAACTGTACTTTCCAAATTAATTATTAGACAACCGAACTGGAAGTATTATGTTGATTTCAAACCTAATGCTAGATAATCCGTTTTGTCCCATAAAGTTGTTTATCGGACTTCATCTCGAATCAAGTCATACTGGAAATGAGGATCAATCGAAAATGAATAACACTAATCCTTTTATTTTAGTTTTTTATGAGATAAATTTAATAAAACTGGTAATATTCTTTTACTAAGTTTATTTTTACATATATGTATCGAATGCTATCCTATTTATCGGCTCTACATATGTTGAATTTTATCGATTATATTGCGCAAGATACTAACTATATAGTCATAGTTATATGTGTTCGCCCTGCAGGGCAGGGCAGGGCAAAAAAAGTGCCCTGTGGACATCGCTGATAAGAATTACTAATACTGTTAATGATATTATCATTGCAAATGTTGTAAGAGTAAATGTTATTGAAGTTAAAATAAGTCCAATGATTCTGTTTTCATTTTGCAACATTGTTTGAAGATTGTTTCAAATGAGATGATGAAATTCATGATTGTAACGGTATATAGAAATGGAAATGAATGTTATTTCATTTCAGCTGCAGCATATTTCTTTTCTTTCAATTGCGATCACAATGACAAACTGAAGGAATAGCAGTATCGCTATTTTCTCGTATGTAGATGGTGTTCTCTACATTTTCGATACTCCAGTTGTGTCTAATACAGTGCTGAACACCGTCTTTTATACAGAACAGAAAGAGAAGAGAACAAACATTGACAGTACAAGGCAATATTCATAATGCGAACATTAGCAACAAAAGAACATTACACAAGGACACTAACTCATGACGGACATTTTTAAATGATAATTCATAAGATATAATATTTAGATGGATGTGTCTGTTGGCACAATGATATTACAAGTTCATTAATTTTCGTGGAAAAAGAACTTGTGACTATAATTTTGTCATACTCAAACTAGCTTCTGGTGTAAGTATAATTGGAAGACTATTAATATGAAGATTTATTATATGATTGAAATTCGATTAAAAACTATAAACGATAGGAACTCAAAATGCAGCATTTTTAACGTTCAATTGAAGGCTTTTACGATAAAGGACCGTGATATTTTTATTTTGCTCGAGGGCGAATAAACAAACAAACTCAATGTTACTAAAGTTGTACTGTTACTCCTTTTAGAAACCCCTTATTTACAAGCACAAATCGTTCGTGCAAGAGTCTTTCAACATATCTTATTGATTTATTTCAGAATTTTTCATACATGTCTGAAAAAATTCTTAACTATTTTTGTAATGCTATTGCGCGAAACATTCTTATTTGAATAAATTTGTTCATTATCCATCAAGTATCAAAGAAACGAACTCTAGAGCAGTATCTGTTTTTAGAAATACTTTCACACTTTTGTTTACTTGATATATTGACTGTGTCCTCATAGTACCTAAATCTTAAAGCGATACATAATGATAAAATTTTATTTAAACTAGGGGTGGACCATTGAATTTGAGTTAATTAACCGTTAATATTAACGGTTAACGGAATCCGTTTACGTTAATTTCAAATAAACGTAAATGTGTCACCCCTAACTTTGTACCATTTACTACAACATGAACAAATAATTTTCCTCTTATAATTGATAAGGAGGATTTCAGAATTTATCCAAACAATAAACTAAGTTTATCTTTTCGATATTAAAATATTTTTAGACATTTTAATTAATTTCAAAGAAACGATTAGCTTGCATCATCTTACGAATCCATGAAAGGTGCACCCCAGGCATTGGCTCCCGCGACACTTGCTCTCCTATTGGATTTGCTCCTTAATATGAATTTTTAATCGAAAAAATTATCGTTGTTCATTCTAAGAAAATGAAACTATCATGTTGTGTCCTTTTTGTACTTCTTTAATTACTTATTTTGATGCTATATTTTGACAATAAAAGTAATTGATATCTTCCGACAAAAGATAATTCCATAAGTATAGTTAAGATGTTGACAACGTCCGGCTTTCAATTAGTTGATCTTCTCAATCAATTTGATACACGTGGGAACTATGTGAATGGTTAAATCATCTTTGACAACTCTTTTTCTCAATCTCTCCTAATATATAAGCAGGTTTCGAATGTTAAGTAACTATTTGTCATATGATGGAAACAGTTAAAGGGAGACCAATCTTTGAACATACTCAATGAATCAACTACAACGAATTTCGATAAAGTACATAGTTTAGCTCAAAATATTTCATTGAAAAGCTCATAATTTATGTGTTCATGTTATTTATCTGCTTTTTTGTTATTCTTCTCTGTTATTGTATTCAATAAATTTATTTAATTTATAAATTATTCTTGTATCTTGTATAGAATATGTTTTCTATCATTGAAGAGCAAATCCAATAGGAGAGCAAGTTTCGTTGGGGAACAAATGTCTGGGGTGCACCTTTCGTGATACCAAATGAAGATGTATCTGTTGTTCTTATTGATAACATAGATTGAAATAGATTTTATATGAATGCTGCATGACAATTGTGATGATTTCCGACGAAAGAGATGTATGCGATAGTCATATTACGGCGTTCTACATTTATTTCTTTTTCTAAACAAACGCATTACTTCCCATCCTTACACATTCTCAAACGCACAAGACAACAAGATCAATCAAAGGTAAAAGTAGTTTACATTTCAGTTCTGTCAAGAGGAACAACGCCAGAAATAAATGCTATCCGATGTTGAAACACTTTTCTTATGGTACTTTTCAATTGTGGGATACAATATGCTGATGCAACACTTAATCCTGCTACTGATATTGCAACTGGCAACCATGAAACACGAAGTGTCAATGGATAATAATCACCTGTTATGGCAAATCTCAGGATAAAGATCATTGCCGGAATTCCGAGAATAAGTAACAAACCAAGTATAATTGAAATTCGTCGAACAATCAAAAAATCTCGATCTTGTCTTTGTCTAGTCACCAGTGTTACAGTATTTGCTTGCCTTCGAAGAAATCTTGTTATTCGGATATAAATAATCATTGGACATGAACATGGAAATAAATAAGCAAAAAATGCTGCCCACACCACTGCTAGTAAATTTGTAAATGAAGCGTAGCAAAAATGATCATTGGTTAAATATATAACTCCATTCCAAGCTATAATAACACAGTGAATACCAAATCCACATAAATATTCTATTATAAAAAGAAAAGTATAGAATTTCAAACTTTGAAAATATTGATATCGAGGATAAATAATTCGAACTAAACGATAAAGTGCCTAAAATACATTCAAATGATAATATCTTTTGCATTTTCATCATTCGTATTTACTTGATTTACAAATGCCATATATACTGTGGAAATGTGATTTAAAGCAAGATATCCTGAAAATATACACCATAATGAATCGAATGATTGTCCAGTTAAATCACCCAACAATGTTCGAATATTCATTGATAGTATAATTGCTGCTAATATTAATAGAGATAAATAGATATGAATACAAAGATATATTGTTATTTTATCTTCTTTTTTTATACGATTGCGATACCATTGATAAATAAGAATTACCAATACTGTCAATGATATTATCATTGCAAATGTTGTAAGAGTAAATGTTATTGAAGTTAGAATAAGTCCAATGATTCTATTTTCATTTCGCAACATTGTTTGAAGATTGTTTAGGATAAAATGACAAACGCTATACAAAAAGAAACTTATTAGTGTTCTTCTCTAGGTTCAACATGTCAACATAATCTTCTCATCTTCCCTTACATGCTCTAGGAATAAATCCAAACACCTTATAATTTTTAATCGTGTCGTGTTAGCGTCTTTCTAGAGAATAGTTAAGCGGCGCATACCTTCCTCTCTCTCTCTACAAAATCTTATAAATTATTCATTGAGCTTGTTCATAGATATAATTCAAGAAATATTGATTAAGCTTTCCTTCCGTATGGAAATGGCCGTAGCTTTTCGATAGTATAGTGTCAAAATATATCGAAATGGAAACTTACTTATAGAGTTGATAGTTGTATCTCCTATACTCAACGATCTTACAGTTCGAAGTCTATAACATATATTCATTTGAATGATAGATAGTATAAGAAAATATATACCATTGCGCACTTCTACTGATTATTTTTGTTGCTTTCTACAAAAGTTTATGTCTATGTTGTTCATTTATACCGAAGCAACGTTTTCATGTTACATCTATCAGTAGTGTCAAACTTGAAAGTTGAATTCAAGTATTCAACTATCTGTTCAAGTATTCAACTATTCAAGTATTTCAAGTATTCAAGTATTTCAACTATTCAACTATTTCAACTATTCAAGTATTTCAAGTATTCAACTATTTCAACTTTTCAACTATTCAAGTATTTCAAGTATTCAACTATTTCAACTATTCAAGTATTTCAAGTATTCAAGTATTCAAGTATTCAAGTATTTCAAGTATTCAACTATTTCAACTATTCAACTATTCAACTATTCAAGTATTTCAAGTATTCAACTATTTCAACTATTCAAGTATTTCAAGTATTCAAGTATTCAAGTATTCAAGTATTCAAGTATTTCAAGTATTCAACTATTTCAACTATTCAACTATTCAAGTATTTCAAGTATTCAAGTATTCAAGTATTTCAAGTATTCAACTATTTCAACTATTCAAGTATTTCAACTATTCAACTATTTCAACTATTCAACTATTCAAGTATTTCAAGTATTCAAGTATTCAAGTATTTCAAGTATTCAACTATTTCAACTATTCAAGTATTTCAACTATTCAACTATTTCAACTATTCAACTATTCAAGTATTTCAAGTATTCAACTATT